TGAGGAGAGTTCGAGTTAGATCACTTTCTCTAACTGGTTCTCTACTGAGAAGTCAGGGTGACCAGGAGCTAGCTTCAAGCTAATGGAGCCTAGAGACGTCCTTGTCCCCTCCCTACAAGTCATACCTAGTCAACCAATCAGCAAGCATTTACAAAGCACTTCCTATGTGCCAGGCACTGTGTTCAGGGTTGAGGATTCAAAGATCTGTGAAGAGAAAGATAGTCTCTGCCCTCAAGGAGCTTCCACTCTAATGGGGAAAGACAACAGTTAAAAGAGGAGCTGAAATGGCGAGGGCAAGGCCGGTGGAGGGGCCTGGTGGCAAAGGCCAAACAATGAAAGATGGCTGCCTGAACCTTTCCCCCAAAGAGGACTTCTGGGAAGAACTCCCCAATGGGATGGAGGGAGGACCTGAGTCATGGTGGTAAAATCCAAGGTCAAGGGTTTCAAGAGGGGAAGCTGAGGATCCCTTGGCTGCCTTCTGCCCCAGGGAAGGGTTTCCTGTAAGGCAGATATACACACAATGAAGACGTGTCCCCACACTCGGGGAATACCACTTCCACTCTCCCTCACCCACTCCTTTGATGACCATCACGCATTGGAAGAGGTTAAAGATTAGGCAGAACTCGGGAGCCATAGCTCTTTCTTCACAGACTGAAAAATGTAGAAGTCTGAAGGGTCCAGTCCCACTTCAGACTGAACACCATCCTCAACAGGCAAGCATTCAGTCTTGGCTTGAAGACCTCCTGGGAGGAGGAAGCTGCCACCTTTGCAGACTGATCATTCCTCTTCTGGGTGGTTCCGAGTATGTCAACAATTCGAAAGTCATTTGCTAGCTTCTTTTGCTGCCTATTCAATTTATTGACAAGGTAACAATACAAAGCCATATTTAAATGTATCAACAATGTATTCCAGTGTATTTCAGTGAGGGTGACCTCTAACCATCAACTTGAACCCGTTAAAAACACTAGAAAACATAGGAATAAATGGACTTTATTTTAGTAAACAGCGCTAAAAAAAACCCAAGAGCAAACATTCTATGTAATGGAGTATATGTAATTGGAGACCTTTCCAATAAGATCGGGGTTATCATTATGGCTACATTATTTAACATTGTGCCAGAAATGCTAACTATAGAATTAAGGCAAGGCAAGGAAATTGGGAGCCTGTAGGCAAAGAAGAAACCAAAGAAGCACTTTTAGTGATCATCTGTTGAGAGAATTTGAATGAGCCAATTGAAGTTAGTTGAAAGTATTGATCAATCCTATAAACTAGCAATATATACATAAATCACTAGCATTCTGAATATTATTAAGAAAACCTAGCAGAGATTGAAATAAATTCTATTGAAAATAAATATAGAATCCATAAAATATTTGGAAATCTTTCTGCCAAGATACTGTATGAATTCCAGTATAAATAAGGAGACCTAAATCAGTGAAAAAAACCCTAATTTCTCATTAGTCAATCTTCATAGCTCAGGGTGATATCTTCTGACGCCTTGAGACTAGTTTAATCATGAGGGCAGTTTTCCTGTCCAAAACCAGAAGCTGCGTGTTTGTAGCTTCTCCCTATTATTCCTGCTTCGGCCCTTTGGAGTTGAATGGAATGAGGCCAATCAGTCTGGCTACCTTGCTGCTTCTCCCGCAAGACTCACCATCTTGGGTCTCGCTATCTTTGCACTGGCTTTCCTCTGTGCCTGGCAAATACTCCCTCCTCTCTTCTCTTTCGCGGAATCACCACTTTCTACATGAAGCCTTCCTCTCCCAAGGTTCCCTGACATCCCAATTGCAGGCGTTTTGTCTATACCTATATTAGGGGAAGGGGAGCTTGGTTGAGTCAGATGATCAATCATCCTGGCACACCTAAAGTAGCTAACAAGATACTCTAGCCCTGATACTTCTATCAGTCAAAGGCATTTTCATCAGGTGCAGCAGGAAGTGTTGGAATTGGCTAAAGAAACTGCATTGTATGTGTGGGGAGGAGAGGGGGTGTTGTATAAAGTAGCAAACTAGCCCAGATCCTAGCATTCAAATGCCCAGCAGCTCAGAGGTGAGGGGAGCTTGGACCAAGCCCCTGAGAGTACTCCTCCTTGTGCAAGGAGGAGTAATGGAAGCTCTTTAAGGGCAGGGACCAGTTGGTCATTGCCTCAGTATCCCCAATGCCCACCATAGATCAGGCATTTAATCAATTCTTGTTCATCTCCCCCACTAAGTCCTCCCTTCTTCAGGCTAAGCCTCCCCAGTTCCCAATCTGCCAATGACAGGATTTTTGGTGACCATTTTCCATCTTCTCCTCCTCTTGGCTCCTCTGGCTTCCTTCCAAGCTCAGCTCATATCTCACCTTTCCTGCTTGGGGAATGGACTCTGCACTCTTCCCAGCTTCCTAAAAGGTGGGGCCCAGAGCCAAGCCCAATCTGCCAGGGTCAAGGGCAGACAGAGTACAGTGGGGTGACAGTCTCCCTAGCTTCAGAAGAGCCCACTCAGAGCTAGCGGGGACTTCAGATGCTACCTCGGATGCTCAGTCCAACCTGCACCAGAGCAAGCATCATCCTTTACAGAACCTCTGTCTGATCCCCTGGCCAGCATGCCTTCAGCCCCTGGCTTGGCAACTCCCACAGAGGGCTTTGACATAGGAGCCAATTTCCTTTCCTGAATTGCTGAAAGTTCAGAATTCTCTTCCTTACATTGAGCCTAAATTTGTCCCACATTTGTGCTGGATGGTACCGTAATCTGTGTCGGAAAACTGACATGAAGTGATTTGATGAGGGTCACTCAGCTAGTAGGTGTCTGAGGCTGGATTTGAACTCAGATCTTCCTGACTCCCCACCCCCGCCCCAGCCCCTGATTGCCTGCTAACGTTAAAGCTAAAGCTGACCCTGCTATTTCTATCTGAGGGAGCTCAAGGATCTACCTCCCCTGAGATTCTTGCTGTTTTTCCTCTCCCTCTGCTGTCAGACCTCTCCCTTCCCTTCCAGACAGTCAATCCCTGTTGTCCTGACCTGAGCAGCATCTTTCCCCTCACCCCCTCCCTCTTAAAATTGCTAACCTAGCCCGCGTCCTCCCCATCATCCCCCTGGGCAAGGTCTCCTCCAGCCTGAAGCCACCCCTCACATCCCTCCCAGACACATCATCCTTGTGCCTGAAAGGACCACTTAGATTGCGATCAGCCATCTTCCTAGTTGCCCCCGATCCTTCAAGGGCCTTCTCAACCTGGCACTGCCCCACCTTTCCATTCAAGTCTTCTCTCACTCCACTCCACAACCAGATGACTGCTTTGGAAGACTGTGCTTTCCCTTTCCTGCGTTCCTGATGCCTAGCATGTCCTTCCTCCCCTTCTTCACCTGGCGAATCTCTAATGCTCCTTTATGGCCCACCTCAAATTCCACCTCCTCCAGGAAGCCTTCCCTGATGCCCTCAGCCTTTATTCTCCAGTTGGGAACTAGGAGGCTTGCCCCATCCCTGTCCATCATAGCTTGCCTCTCTCCATACTCTCCACTCTCTCCTTCTGGCTGGTCTCCTTCCCTGCTGCCTTCGGGTGTGCCCAGACCCAGGCCCATCCTTAACAAACCCTCACTACACTTGCCACCTCCTCAAGGTTAAAACTCTGCCCTGCTTCCTCCTCCTCACTTCTTAACCCCTTGCAACTAAGCTGGCTGCAGGCCAACACTGCCCTCCAACAGCCCATCCCAAGGCCAGCTGGCGGATCCTCGGGCCTCATCCTTATGGGCATCTGGGTAGCTTGCACACTGTGAATGAACCTCAGCCCTCTCTCCTCTCTTCTTCCTGAGTTTTGTGACACTGCTTTCTCTAGGTTCTCCTCCTGTTATCTGAGCAGCTAGAATCCTGGACCTGGGGCCAGACACTGATTAGTCCTGTGACCCGGGGCAAATCATGTCACCTGTGTTCCTCAGCTTACTCAACTGTAAAATAGGACTGATAATAGCACTTACCTCCAGGGTTGTTGTGAGAATTAAAGGAGATAGCAGTTGTAAAGCACTTAGCACAGTGCCTGGCATATAGAAGGTTGTTCCCTGACTGTTCCTTGGTCTCCTTGCAGGACCATCATCTGTCTCTGCTCCATGCGTTGATGTCTGCTGGGGCTCTGCACTCCCTCTTCACTTTCTTTCTTAGGAACCGCCTCAGCTCCCATGGGTTCCATGATCATCTCTCTGCAGACACCCCCAGCCTCTTACTTCTCTTGGGCACCAATCTGCTGTCATTACAACACACCCCCTGCAGTGTAGCTTCACCTGAATGGCCCAGAGGCAGCTCAGACTTCACAGTCCAAAACAGAACTCCCCATCCTTCCTGCCTCTGCAAACCAGCCCACTTCCTGACTCTCCTCTTTCTGGCAAGGGCGCCATTGTCCTCACAGTCACCCAGACCCTGGAGCTGGCAGCCATCCTTGAAGTCTCCCAGTCCCCCACCACAGAGGGCCTCAGAACCCCCATATCTAGAGTCTGGCAAGTTGAGGCCACCCAGGCTCTGCCTGACGACCAGCAGGGAAGGGACCTTTCCCTCCTCCCTCTTCTTCCTTCCCTCCCTCGCTCCCTCACCTCCTCTTCTCCCTTCCCCTCCCCTCCCCACTCCACAGAAGCAGCCCTGGCCCCTTGGGAGCAGCGCCCATAGAGGGAAAGGTTTTTTCCAGACGTCCCCCTTAAACTTTTTTCTGTGACTTCCATCCCCTGCTCAGATCGTGGCCTCTCCCAAGGCACACGAGGTGCCTTCCAATGTCAGCCCTCCTCTCCCGGCAGGTGTGCCAGGGCGACTGATAAGGAGAAGGGAAGGATGAGAGCCAGGGCAGAGGGCTGGTGGAGACCCTCTCGCAGGGACCTTGGGGAGAGAGCACCTGGCTGGGGAACCCGAGGGGGCGGGGCCGGGACACCCTCTGCGAGGCGGGCGGAGAGGCACGGGAGCTCCGGACAGGTTATTGGCGGGGAAGCCGCCTCCACCTCCTTCCACCGCCCCATTCTGTCCCTCCCTTCTGACCGAGCAGCAGACTCGACCATGGCGCGGGGGCTGCTGTTGCTCAGTCTGGTGGTCCTGGCGCTGGCCTTGGTGGCGGAGAGACGTGCTGCGTTCCGGTGAGCTGCAGTGAGGGGGCGGCTGGACGGGGTTGGCACAGAGGCGGGGCTGCATGGATTTGTGTAAGAGAGGTAGCCCCTAGCGGGATAGCGGCAGGGGCGGGCTCTGGGGGAGTCGAGCATCCCGAAGGAAGCAGCTCAGGGTTGGACCCACCTACAGACCTCAGGAAGGGCGAGATGGAATGGCCTGGGGGGGAGTGGGGTGCAGCGTTAGCCTAGGACCACAGGGAGAACCCCAGCCATCTCCCCGCCGTGTGTGCATAGATCACACGTGGTGGGTCCAGGGCACGGGCTACTCAGCCCTCCCAGTACAAGAGGAAAGCTCCCTCCAGGTGTCACTCGGAGGGGCCCTCCAGGGACTAGCAGCTTCCCTGTCCCCAGCAGCCCAGACCCATTCTTGGGACATCTGACTTTGGGTAATTTAAGTCAAACCCTTTTCCCTAGTGGGCAGATTCCCAGCGGGATCTTGAGGCTGGCCTAGTGCTTGAGGGGCACCAACCTTAACCCTAAATTCATGCTGGGGAGAATCTGGGGTCAGGTGGAAAGAGAGGAGGACTATGAGAGAGCAGGACCCACGATGGTCGCTGTCAGTGGTCTCAGGTTGTGAGACTGTCAGTGGGCTCCAGAGTGGGTGGCAAGAGGCAAGGGGCTCCCCTGGGAGCTGAGGCCCAGGGTCACTCTCTCTGCCTCCATTTCTCCAAAAGCTCTGTGGCCCATTCCCTTTTCTGGGCCAACCAATGCAGTAACCCTTGGGGATGGTCTGTGTCCCATTTGTGGGGCCGCAGACAGCCAAGAGGAAGGGGGGCATGCCTGGTCTTTCCAGTTGGGAAGCTCTTCCAGGACTGGAGGCAGCAGCAGGGGCCATACTTTCTGAGGCCCCCAGACAGTTCGGGTGGGCTCTCTGGCCCCATTTCCATGCTAGAGCTCTTTCACCAAGTCTGGAGGCACAGGGGAAGAGGTGTGCCATTCAGATGTGTTAATACCCTCCAACAGGCTGGCCCCAGGTAGGGAAGACTAGCTCATAGGCCTTGAGAGAGTGACAGAGTCCCAACATAGTACCAGTGCCTACAGAGGGGAAGCAGCAGGCCTCTATCCAGGCACTACAGAATATGCTGGCAGGCAGAGGCTCCAGAAACGGAGTGCTGACCCCCAACAGGCCTTGGGGAAATCCTCCCTTTGACCCAATCCTCCCTGCACAGCAGCTGCCTGACTGCCAGCCTCTCTAAGGTGGTCCCAGACTGGGCATAGGGTGCCAAGGTGAACATCCCCAAGATGTCTCCTGCTCAATTGCTCCTAAATCCATACCTTTGGCCAAGGTTTCAGAAGGGAAGAAACCACTGGCTAAAGAAAGGCATGCTTGCTCCCAGATTATTGTTCAGTCCTGTTCAACTTTTTGTGACCCCATTTGGAGTTTTCTTGGCAGAGAAACTGGAGTGATTTGCCATTTCCTTCTCTTCCTCATTTTACAGATGAGGAAACTGAGGCAACAGGGTAAAGTGACTTGCTCAGGGTCACTCAGCTAGTAAGTGTCTGAGGCCAGATTTGAACTCAGGAAGAGGAATCTTCCTGACTCCAGGCCCAGCTCTCTATCCCACTGAGCTACCAGCTCCCCTCTTCCCTCAACGCTGTCCTCCTTTCTTCCTCCTTGGAGCCTGGACCTCAGGGCAGCAGCCCAAGCTTCCTCCTGCATGCAGGACCATGTTCTAGTTGCTCTGAGTTGTGATAGCGGGAACCCTACCCCCAGTGTGAATGTGCTGAGTCATGGCCCATGGCTAAGAAACAGCAGCTGGGGATTGTTCCCCAGGGCTTTCTTGCCTGGATTAAGGTCACACCACTCTAGGGTTTCATCTCTGATTGGACCTGCAGAGAAGATCTGGAAACTGGATCACCAACTACCAAGAAGGAGAAGGTCCCCATCACAGGACGTTCTTAGGAGCAGAGCCTCCATATAGAGTTGAGAGGCTGGGGACCCAGCACAGGGTCCTTCAGCAAGGGCAGGGTCCAGAACCCTCTAGAACCCATCAGCCAGGAAGGATAGAAGAGCTGGGAAGTGTGCTGCTGCCCGGAAGGCTGGAAGGTCAAACTGGAGGCAGCCTTAGGACCTTACCTAATCCAGGCCCTGGCCTGGGGAGGGGAGGAGGTAGAATTACCCCCATTTTACAGAAGAGGAGCTAAGACCCAGAGAGGACTTGATTAAATGCAAAGCTGAAGAGAAGGTCTTTTCTGAGGCTCCCTGGAAGTGACCTTGCTCTTCCAGGGCCTGAAAGACAGGAGGCATCCCCAAGGGATGCTGGGAAGCCAGATGCAGGCTAACCTGGGCTCTGAGGCTTGCGTGGGCAGAGGGGCACTGGAAATGAAGTAACTGGACCCTGGGCTGAAGCCAACAAAGTGGAAAATGCATGCAGCTGGACACATTTATCTGCTCCCTACAGCCCCAGCCTCTCCCTGGGGCTTTGGGTCCTCAATCACAGGGGAGGAGGACTCAAACTCACCCCACCCAGCATTAATCCTCTACTGTGTGCCAGGGACTGGGGAACCAAGACAAAGTAAAACCCAGTCCCTACCCATTTGAGGAGGGATTGAGCCTAGAAAGGAGTCAGAGAGGAGCAGGGGACCCTGGGCCATCCCTCCTCCAGCCTCCTTCCTCCCACATGCCCTAATTGTACTGCCACCTCACCATCAATGAGGACAGGGGCACCCCAGGCTCCAGCTCAGGCTTTGACACAATCTCTGAGCTGGGGACAGAGATCCTCACACTCCTGATTTCATGTGGTTTTTGTGAAGAAATGACTTTTTAAACTTTTTGTGTCATCGAAATATCTCCACATCCTCCAACCTCTGCCATCTCAAGACCCCAGTTCTGTCTTGGAACCCTTGCTTTCCCTGTGCTCCTGGTGCCCCCCCCCACCGTCTCTGTCTCTCTCTGTCTCTGTCCCTATCTGTCTTTATCTGTCTCTGTCTCTCTGTGTCCCTGTCTCTGTCTCTCTCTGTCTCTCTCTCTGTCTGTCTGTCTGTCTGTCTCTCTCTCTCTCCTCCCTCTGCCTCTGTCTCTCTCCTCTGTCTCTGTCTCTGTGTCTGTCTCTCTTCTCCCCCCAGTTCCCCTCCCCGTTTTGGCTGCAATCACCTCCTACTTGTCCTCTCTGACCCCAGTCTCCTCTCTCCAAATCCATTTGACCCACAAACCTTCAGGGCTCCCTCTTGCCTCTGGAATAAACTACCAGCTCCCTGGACTGACATTTACCTTCCTGGCATCCTTTCTCATGTGTCCTTTCATAAATTCTCTCATCCAGCCAAATGGAAATGCCCCCTGCCCCGATTCCATGACCTCATCCTGCCCAATTCTGCACCCAGGCTTTTGTACACCTTGTGCCTGGGATGGATCCCCCAGCTCTGGGCCTCTTGAACCCTCCCTGGCTTCTGAGGCTCAGCTCTGGGGTTACCTCCCCTCTGAAGCCTTCTCTGACTTCTAAATCTGGAAATGACTCCTAATTTCTCATAGCTCATATCCCTCAGGCCTTTCCTGGTCACTTACATTCTCACCCTATCCTAGCTGCCCAGCCCACACTCACTGGTCCCTGTCAGACTGGAAGTTCCTGGTGTGGAGGGTATGGGCCCCCTTTTCTTTTGCGTCTTTACATCACAGAGCACATCACTTCACACACGGCAGATAGACAATGTTTGGTTGAGCTGGCCAGGCTGTTTTCCTAAGACAGTGACAGGCGTAGTGAGGTGTCCTGAAAGACAAGTCTGAGGTGAGCAGAGCGGTGCCACACTGGTTCCTGCTCACCACTGGAATGCACCATCTTGACAAACACACTTGGATGCTCACAAGCCCTGCCTTTCACTGCCTGCTGCCTCACAAACCCATCCTTCTCTCTAAGCTGCTTGACACCATTGTAGGGTTGGTCTTAAGAACTCCCTCCCTGGCCTGTTGTCCCTTCCCCACCAGACATCCCTCTGCTAGCACCATCTTCCTTCCAGTGACACAGCTTCCATTTATGACTGGTGTGGCCAAGGCCCTTTCCCTTTTGGAGCCTGTGTTTCCTCCCCTGTAAATGAGTAGGTTGGAACAGAAGACCTGTCTGGCCCCTCCAGGTCTAACTCTTTGGCATCTCAGTACTCTTCTCTCCCAACTGAACTGTCCAAACCCAGTAAAGCCCAGGTCACCCAGAACTGAGATGGTTGGTCCTACTGACTTCTCCAAGGACTCTTCCTACCAAGAGCCTCTCTCCCTCCTCCACTCCTCCATCCCCTCCTTATTGCCCAAGGGCATTGGCCTCCTTCCACCCTCAGGTCTTTGCTGCCCTGCTGAGCCTCCTGCCCATCATCAAGCTCAGCCCTGCCCTTAGAGGATGTGGTCAGGGCCCCTCTTGTGGGGACCTTTCCTTTAGTGCCTCTTTCTTGGGTCCCTGCAGTGCTTAGAGTGGACATCACACAGTCCTATCTGCAGCACTTCCACACTGTCTCTTGTACATCTAGGCACCTGGTAAAACTTCATGCTACCTCCTGGCCTAGCCCTTCACCCAGAGCAAGCATACCACCTCAACCCTCCCTCCAAAGCCATCCCCTCTCTAAATCAGTTCTCCAGTGTCCATCCACAAAGAACAGAACACTACTTGCCCATCTCCTTTGCCTCACCCACTGCCATGGCCTGAGGACCTTCCTAGGCTAACTGATTGGGAGCTGCCCACTCTCTGCTCAGGGTGTGGACATGAAGACTTCTCCTTGGCTGAGATGGCCTCTTTGACCTCCCGTCTGCCTCGAGGTTCACAAGGCCCATGTTTAGAGGAGGCTTTGCTCTTTGTCCTGAGGCAGGATTTCTGTCTCCCTTGGCCAAAGGTCCAGGTGCTGATTCAATGGGGCTGGGCTTGGCAGTGGTTAAAGCAGGGCGATGAATGACATGATTTCACATGTTGACGTCAACTCAATGTGGTTTTCTGTTTGTTTTCTCCCTGGTCTCTGCTCAGAAAGCGGTTCAATGCCTCCCGAGAAGTGAAGCCCGTGGACCTGCCTCACTGCCACCTCATCAAAGGCATTGGTATGTTCTGGGATGGCTCTCAAGCCTCAGGGTTGGTGGGATTATTTTCCAATTCGCTTGTGAATTTGGCTTCTAGGGAAACAATCCCAGAGCCTTTGAGGCTGAGAATGTGGCAGATATTGCTATTTAACAATGAATGCCAAACTACTTCACAATCAAACTCTGGGTCTATTTACATGACCTTGAACATTTGGGTGATTTAGTGGGTTCAACAGTCACAAGGAGCTCCTGTTTACTATATGCAGTGGCCTCTGGGTCTGGTGTAAGCAGAGATGGGAGGTGAGGACAGGAAGCAGGAGTGGAGTTGGAGGGCCACTTGGAAATAAAGGTCCTGAACACATGCACACACACATACAACACACACATATGCACACACACACATGTACACACACAGTGCATACAAACTTGTACCACACAGCCACAGTGCACATACACAGTGCACACACAAGCATATACTCATGTGCACTTGTATGTGTACATACACGTGCACACACTGAGCACACCATGCACACACATACACATGCGCACTGTCAAACCCCAATTTGAGTACAGAGTTTGTTCTAAGAAAGAGACAAATGAAATTAGGGTGTGCATGTTCGCGTTTTAATTTCTCTCCCAAGCTGACAACATGCATTGCATGTTACTTGAGTCCAAAATTGGGCCCCCCCACAAGGAGGCCAGTTCAGAACTAGTTCGATTTGGGGTACAGGGTTATATACCTTTTCAACAGGGGCTGATATGAGCCACCATCATTCTACCTCCTGAACAGAGGAAATATCTGTTCTATCAGACCTTCCACCATACCAGACCACTCCTAGTCTTGGGCTATCGGGGCAGAAGGATCAAACTCCACCCCAGCCTGGGCAGATTAAATCAATTCAGGCCTGGTCTGGAGTTTGATCAGGGTTAAGACTCATGTCCTTGTGAAGAACTTAGGAGCAGGGGGCTGGCTGGTGTGCAGAGGAGGGGGGGGGGGTTGTCTCTGAGAACCATTTTTCACAGTTTCCCACCTGATTCTAATGAGAGGCAAAGCCTTCTCAATGAATCACTAACTGATGTGGTCAACACTTCATCAATGGTTTTGGGACTTACAATGGGTAACAAAATGGGAAGGGCCCTTGCCCTGGGGCAAGGGAAGAAATTGATTGAACCATTGACAAAACCAAGGGGGGGCAATCCCCTTAGTAAATGTTAAAAGACAGAAAGGGAAAGGGTAAGCAATGAATAAAATTGTCCAATTAGGGCTCAGAATCTCATCTAATACAGCCGTTTAGTGTTGGGGACATCATCTGATGAAGTTCTCTGGTCAGAGTGTTGTTTAGCAGTCTCCAGCAGACTCTCTTCTTAAGACTCCTTGTAGGGAGAGATACTCTTTCCTTGTTAAAATCTCCTACAAAATTGATCTTAACACAATTTTAAATTACCTTGGCAACAACCAGGTCAAATAATGAAAGTTAACTTGACCCTTATGTCTCTATTATTATAAAATAAAAATTGGAACCTTGGCCAACTGTCATATTTAAGAAACTCAAATTTAAAAAAAAGAAACAGAAAAATTAGTACCCAGTTTTTATACCTTGCACTAATTCATTATTCACTGCCCCCCCTCTGAAGGATGAGATTCCACTAAGGGATTAACAAAACACTTTTTATAAAAAGATGGTCTCAAATACATACGTAAAACATTGAGTGATCAGTTTTAAAACAGTACATATCAAGTAATAAAACAATTTCAACTTCTAGCCATGTTCAAATGAATAACCCCTAATTAAAGTGGAGGCTTCCTTTAAGGCATTTACAAGACAGACCACAAGCCATGCTTCTTTTGACGTTAACTAATTGTAATAAAACTGAGACAGGTATGATGTTAACTAAGTAACAGAATAATATCCTGGTTTCACAAGCCCTTGACCTAATTATCCCCATACCATTATGAGGAATTAAAAGACCCTAACTTATACAGGAATACATACTAGTAACAGATATCAAGGCTGAATATCTAGTTAGTTGTTTGGGCTAAGATTCCAGACCAGATAGACTTGCATCTTACTATAATAACCTCAGATGTTCCAACATCAATCTGTTATTCAGTAGATTTAATATTGTTTTTACAGAACTTTTTGATTATATAAATTTGCCATAAAGAATAGAGAAATAACTATAAGTAGGGAGCAATGTTCCCTAACTTCATGTCAGTTCCAGGCAAAAGTGATGCAGATGGCCAACTGCATTGAGCCAGGCTTAAAGTCTGCCAGGTAGGATATTCATATTGGGGAAACTGAGTCAGGAGAATCCTACTTCAGCTCACGCAGAAGAGTCATTCTCCCAGCTTTTCGCATGAGAACACCCTCTGCAGTTCACAGACCTCACAGGGTTGCTGCATTCCTTGATAATCATACCTAGAGTCAGACTCAGAACAACAGCCAGTTAACAGTCCCATAAGGTCTTGACTAGAAGTTCCAATAATCAGAGTTTCAGATATGTGACTATAATCTCACATTGGTTGGGAACATCTGTGAGGTGAGCCTTAAGTAGTCTGCATACATTCCTGCACATGTACTAGTTCCTGATTAAAGAACAACGTGAGTAAAATCAAATTTCCCATGAAGATCAGAAGTTCCTACTCTAATAGACTGGCATCTCTGTTTCTCAAGCTTGTTTGTCCTTCTCTAACCATACTTAATCTGAAAGAATGAGACGCTGCAGGAATTGAATCTTACACATATGATAAGTTCAAACACTAATTTTAACTCTTGTTTAGGCTATGGAATGAATTCAGATCTGAACAGCAAGATCTTTCCCATTTACAGCTCATTCTTTAGCATTAATCACTAGCCTTAAATCTCTGATGCTGCTCCCATTGAGCAGCTGACTCTGATTCTGTTTCCCTGAAAGCACCCATTAAAGGGCCAAGTCAAGGACACAACAAACCTAGTGATGAAACTAAAAATTCACAGGAGGTTTGGACATAGTTGTCATCAATATCAAATTATTACTGCAACAAATTAGCCTGCAAATGGAAATTTAGCAGGCCTTCTAAAAATCACACAGAGATTTTGCAAAATATTTGTTTGTGAAAGTATTTTTCCCTTCCTTAAAAACAGCTTGCAATTTATCCTGATGTTACTATAACAAACTAAATTAATTACAAAGAGATTTTATAAGGTCCTTTCTTTGCATAATTACCAAGTTTCATTTTACAAAAATACTTTTGTAAATACTTGATTTAAGCAATAACTCCAAATAGCTTAGTTAACAATCTTAATTTTCTTAAGTGAGAGCCAAATAATTTTAGTTGAAACTTTCTTTTAAATATAGACAAAACTTGGAAGTTTATGATTTCTTCAATTACAGTACATCAAAATATTACAATGTATGGTCAGACAGTATGACTTAACAGCTTCCTGACTCATTCATTTTTTTTCTGACAGTACAATTCTTAATTTAACAAAATCTAGATCATAAGAGAAATTGCTTTTCTAACAACATAGGTGAGACAATTGTTTACCAAATTACACAATATAAGAAAATTTAGGATATAACAATACCACAAACAATTATCATGTATTAAACTTGAAACAAAATCAACTAATTACCAATTAGGTGACCTTAATTTAAACAATTAAATTTAAACAGTTAACATTCAGATAGTATTTGTCCTTCACCAAGCAGTGTACCAAACACTTTACAATCTTGTGATCCTCACAACATCCTTGGAGAGTGGGTTCCACGATTATCCCTTTACGGAACAGTAAACTGAGGTAAATAGGACTTTCTTGGGGCCATACAGTTAATAAATTTCTTTTTTTTTTTTTTGGCAAGGCAAATGGGGTTAAGTGACTTGCCCAGAGTCACACAGCTAGTAAGTGCTATGTGTCTAAGGTTGTATTTGGACTCAGGTCCTCCTGAGTCCAGAGCTGGTGCTCTATCCACTGTGCCACCCAGCTGCTCCCTAATAAATTTCTTAATGCCAAATAACAATATCTTTTTGTGCTTAATGCTGATAGGAAACACACTCTCAGATTCTGTTCTTATTCCTTCAGGACAGATTTTGACTTAAGTCAAATCAAATCTAGATTTATAATTCCTAGTGATAAACATTTTAATTTGTTTAAAGTCTAATACTCTTGGCCCTTTGAAAGGACATATTATCCACAAATTCATACACTCCTTTTAAAGGACAATGTGGTGCCAATTCCCAGCTCTGAATACTTTTTTTTCTCTACTTCCTTAAAAAACTGTTTGAAATCACCTGTTATCATCACGTTAGCTATAGAGTTTGGCCCAGGCAAAGAGACCTAACAAATTTGAACTAAAGTTGACAGGGTGTGGTCAGTTTCCCCAGGCACCAACCTCCACCCTTCCACAGTTTAATAATTAATTGAACGGTACAAGGAAACATTTTAAGATTTTATATAATAACCTCAAATCACAGTAACCAATATCTTCACCACAACCAATATTTGTGCAATGTTAGATTTAATAAGACTTTCCTGCAGATTTACCCTGAAATGCAGGTGGACATGATTTCTTCTATCTTCTATAACTTTATTGGTTTTCAAATCAAGCTACAAAAATTTCATTTTCAGTCTTTCTACTTAAAACAAAATCAAACTTCTTCACATCCTCTCAACATGCTTAAACCATCTGAAGCTGGCACAAGGGCACCCAAAACAACTATCCAAGGATGGGGGGAGGGGTCTTAGAGCACATGGGCTTGCTGATGATGACCCCACCCCCATCTATCTCTAAACCATTTTTTCTACCTTTCATATTTTCGTTTAAACCTTTATTTCTCTTTCTTAATCCTTCAAACCATTACTTAGACTACCCCCACTTTCCTTTACGTTCCAAATTTAAAAATCATACTCACCCCAATTTTGTCCTCCTTTTCTTCACCTTTTAGAATCTGGACAGAGTTAACATTTAACGATTTACAAATTCAGAGAGCTATATTTCTCCCACACCCTTCACAAACAGTGTTAATATGCATTTTAAACAAATCATTGAAATTCTAAAGTGATCTCTTAAAAGACAGAAAAACTCTTGTTTTCATAGTTTTAAACACATTGCCCTGACATCAGATACATTGGTGAAAGGGGTGCAAAGACAGTTCTCTAGATTTAATTTAAACATGATCTACAAACTATAGCTTTAGGATCTAATTAAATCTGAATTCAAACTCTCAGCTTTTTTCTCTCTCAGCCCCTGCCTGGTTTAGATTCTTAAAAGCTGCTTGCTGCTCTAATTTCACCTTCCACTAACTTCTGGAAGGACCTCACCCTGCTTTCCATTACTTCTTATCTAACTTTATTCTGGTATCCCAATTTGGCCAGTGTTGTGACCACCCCCCCAAAAAAAAGGCATCTTAATCTCCCACTGAAAGCCTAAGGTGGGAGTTCTTTCCCAGTGTTCTCTCTAATTACACACCTTAGAAGTTCCTTAGAAGTTTTTCTGACTACATTTTAAATCTTTTAGCATGAACATGAAACATTTTACAAAAACAGGGGTGTGCGTGTCCATGTTTTAATTTTTCTCGTGAGCTGGCAACATGCATTGCATGGGAGTTGAGTCCAAAACTGGGCCCCCCTAAGGAGGCCAGTTCAGAACTGGCTTGATTTGGGATTTGGGGTACAGGGTTATATACCTTTTCAACAGGGACTGATATGAGCCACCATCATTCTACCTCCTAAACAGAGGAAATATCTGTTCTATCAGACCTTCCACCATACCAGACCACTCCTATCTGGGCAGGAGGATCAAACTCCACCCCAACCTGGGCAGATTAAATCAATTCAGGCCTGGTTGGGAGTTTGATCAAGGTTAAGACTCATGTCCTTGTGAAGAACCGGGTTCAGTGACTTGCCCAAGGTCACCCAGCTAGTAAGTGTCAAGTGTTTGGTCTGAGTCCGGATTTGAACTCAGGTCCTCCTGACTTCAGGGCTGGTGCTCTATCCACTGCGCCACCTAGCTGCCTGAGAACCATTTTTCATAACACTCATGCATGAGCACACAGCGTACAATGCAGTATACATGTACATAAATAAACATGCACATGTGCTCTCTGTCTCTCTGTCTCTGTCTCTGTCTGTCTCTCTCTTTCTCTGTGTCTCTGTCTCTGTCTCTCTCTCTCTCTCTCCCTCTCTCTCTCTTGCCCTATGCCTACTTGGCTGAGATGGAGCTGAGAACTTTGAAGTGAGTGCAAGGGGTCTCTAAGCATTGGAAACAGCTGCTGTACTGTGCTAGGGTCCAAGCACACTCAGGCACTTTGTCTAGGTCAGGGCAGCTCTCTTAGCCTCCCTCACTCAGAGCCCGCTGACTCATTTAACCTTCTGCTTAGCTGCTTTCTGAGCCCATGGCAGCTGAGCCACCACCAAGAGGTGGGGTGAGATTGCTAAGAGATCTGGACTCTGGACAGCAGTCTGGAAATGTCAAGGAGCATGGCAGGTGAAGAGGCTCCAGGTAAAGGCACAAAGGTGGTGGCTTAAGGCCCATAAATGCTGCAGCCATCTGAGCTGTTCAGTGTGTCTGGGGGAAACCTGGCCAAGCCCCCCACTGAGGATCCTAGGGCATCTGCGCGCCCGCATCACAAAGGGCACAAACTGCCCCTCGTGACTTTGGCTTTAACAGCAGGCTACATTTCAGAGGGCAGGAAGGAGCGACTTTGGAAAGTGTCCCATCCAAAGGGCTGAAGTTGCTGTGGGTTTTGGCCCTTGAAGCCACAGTCTTCAGTTATTCAGCAGGGAAGCGTGTGGGTGTGGGAGGGGGGTGTTGGGGCATCATTGTGCCCATGCTGATGTGGGCCTGACCAACTTTCCACCATCTTCGGGCAGGGTATGGGCAGCCTCCCTTCCTGTAAAGTAGGCCTTTCCTTCTATCCCATGTGGGGGTCCATCCCTGTGGGAGTACGCTTCAGAAAGAGGTGTAGTCTGCCTCCCAGGCCTCCATCCCAGGCCTCATCTCCTCTGTGTGAGTCTTGGGGTCACCGATCACGCACTGGATCCCATCACTGCCCAGAATGCTTCTCAGAGCTCCCTAAGGACCCGTCGTGTCCCTGTGGGCCCCTGCTTAAGAAGAGCTGGTCTGGAAGCATTTTGACACAGAATCCCAACCTTTCCCAGAGTCAGGACTGCTGGAGTGGGGATCTTAGGAGACTTTTTCCTCTGGAAGCCTGAGCACAGCATTAGCGAACCAAGCCATTCCATGGTGAGCCCAGAAGACCTAGGATCAAGTCCTCTTGCCTTTGAGGCACTGGCTGCATAACCCTTCTCCGTGCCCAAGGCAGCTAGAGGCTGCAGAGAGGGCACCTACTGCCTCAGTGGAGGGAGTGTCCTCATCCAGGAGCCCCCAAAGTCAATGAAGTCCCAGGGGCAGGCCCTGACTGGACCTTGTGAACAAGAAAATCTGGAACTGGGACCTGAGGGAGGGAGGCCTCTCTCTACCAAGTCACACTTAGCTGTTGTCCAAGGGCATCAGGGAACATCTGGGCTTTAATCCATTGTTTGGATGTAATCCTTCTGAAAGCTACCGAATTGGTCTATCTTCAATGAAATAGTGGGGCAAAGACAAGGACAGGCACGGGAGGTGAGGACAAAGTGGGTGAGGACAGGGAGAGTGAGGAGGATGGACCTCCATGGAGGCCAGCATGCCAGGGAACAGACCTTACAGAATATGAGGATAAAGAGAGGGCTTGGCCCACAGCCTCCTAACAATGAATGTGAGTGTGTGTGTGTGTGTGCACATGTCTAGTCAATGATACTAGCCACATTTCAGTCATTATATTTAAAACAGAATTTCAATTGTAAATTGTAAAGACAGCCTTTAATTTTTATGTGATCATGCAGTGAGATCTGGAGTTCACAGAATCTCAGGTCTAAGATTAAGTTAAGGAAGAAGTGAGAATATTGGCACCTCAGAATGCCACTGAGGCAGTTATCGAGGGGAATGTACAAAATCCACTCCTGACTGACTAAATATATCTTTGTCAAACCATGGCCTTGTTAGGGACGATGGAGCCAGAGTGGAGCCGCCTGCCACTTGCCGGTTCTGTGACTCTGAGGGCTCATTTAACTTCTCAGACCTTCTGGAAAGTGGGGTCAATCAAAGACATGGGAGCTGGCCCTGCTCAGGGCCTCTGGGTCATCCAGGCTCTTGCCACCCACCTCACATTCCAACCATATCCCACACTACTCTCTTCTCTCGCAGAAACTGGTTCTGAAGATGTGGAGATACTCCCCCATGGCCTGGCTTTCCTGAGCTGTGTGAGTATTGTCTATCCCCATCAAGTGCCGCCTGGCAGGGAACCCCAGGGGGTCAGCTGAGCTCTGATGTAGGCTGCTTTTGCTCTGGGCACACACACACACATAAGCAGTCATAGGTGCTGGTGACTAACTGTGTAGTGCCAGGAGTAGAGGAACTCAGGAAAGACCCCCACTATGAAACCCCTGTCCTGTCCCCCTCCTATTCTTAGCTCAGGGACTTTGCCAAAATGGTATGTGTTAGACATGTTGTCTAGGGGTGTGTGAATGTTCAGATGAAAATTTCTGCCTCTCTTTCTGTCTCTCTGTATGTCTCTTCCTCTCTCTGTCTCTCCCTCTTTTTCTTTGTCTTATATGATGAGGTGGCCATTTTCCTTGCAAACTCCAATCCGTCAACATGCACAAACAGGTCCATTCAGTTCCATCTTCTCTAGAATATTGATCTCTCTATTACCCCAACTCTCTCACTTATGTTCAGTCTCTCTCTGAGTCCTCCCTCTCCCACTCCTGATCTCACTTCCTCTCCCCCTCCCCTCATTTACATGTTTCTCCTGCATTAACCTACTCCGGCTGATCAAAGGCACCTAAGCTGGGGAACTGCCCATAACTGGACCCATTACTCAGCCAACTTCCCCACTTTCCAATCTCCCACTAGGTCCTGGAATGGTCCATTTTTTTCTGTTCCACACACAGGCATCCCTCCCCTTCTCCCCCCAGTCTCTATCACTCCTAAATAACAACCAAAGCCCTGCTGGGTATACTGAGTTTTCATATCCACAGGAAACCCAATAGCAAAACTAATGGACCAAAGAAGAAAAGGCAAGGGAACGGGAAGTGTCCACCCACGCAGCCCACTAGAGATCAGCACTAAGGCGGCTTTCGCACACAGGGCCGAGAGGGTGTCTCACCAAACTAGGTCCATTCAGCTCCTCACTCACAGCAGCAGCATCCACCATCGTAATCTCTCTGAAAGAAAGAGCTGGGGACCATCATTCCTCCCAAGATCCCCGAAGAGGCTGGCACACAGCCTCCTTCATGCTGCTTCCTCCTCTTCCTCTTGCATGCCTGGCCTCTGTCTGTGAACAGTCCCAGACACCTTCCTGCACAGCCCTCTGTCCCGTCCCGCAGGACATCAACGGAGGTCCGGACCTGTAAAAGAAGGAGGGGAGCAGGGGACACAGGAAATGGAGACAAGACAGGCTTTCTGATCAAGTCTCGTTTATTGAAGGCTAGCTCAGGGTAATTATACACACCGCAAGAGAGAGTGGGGGAGTTCCATCACCGGTATAGGGGCGGGGTATTCCAGGAAGAGGTACAGCTTTGTCCGTAATTTGTTCTTATCACAAGGACCACCAAAGGTATAGGGGTATTCC